AGAAGCACAATTACTAGTAAACACAATGTGCACAGTCTGTAGAAAATTCCCCATGAAAAAAAGTGATGCATTATGTGAAAAGCATAGATCCCATGATAAAAAAGTGTGTGTGTGACTCTTGGAGTTCGACAAACACTAGATTCAATCCTAGTAGTGATCTGAAAGCTGGACCTCTGATAAGAGAATCTAAGCACAACTAAGGAAAGTCAAACCACTAGGAATAAAGGTGTATTTGGTGAGTAGAAGCGGAGGCTCCCCCTCAATCAATTAATCCTTTTTTTTTCTTTCTTTCTTTTTCACATTTATTTTTTTATTTTTTCGTTTCTTTCTTTTGCACATTTTTTCTTTCTTTTGTACACTCATTGGCGGCTAACACGCTCAAGAGTATGGAAACTGAACCACAGAAGCATGGATATAATAAGGATAGCCTGGTTGGTGACTCTGAGGTAGCCTTTTCCTCATGGCTGGACTACAAAGAATAGAGGGAAAAGCCGTGGAGATGCAAAAAGATGGAAGGTGGTTAAGAGACTCAACATCACCCATGATATGCTAGTATAGGTCAATTCATCTAGAAAAGCAAAAGATCAATGACGAAAGTCCATAGAGAAAAAAATAATCACTAAGGCGGAATACTCCAAAATTTGCTAATCTAAGAGTGTGTACAGAATGAGACATACTAATCAAAAAACACACACTCCAAAACGAGTAATGACCACAGAAAGCACGCATATATTAACATGTAATGGATATTCTCATCAATTCCAATATGCACCAAGGACCACTCAAAAATTTCAAGCTTGCAAAACCATACTAAGAAAATCTTTTTGGGATTTTTGTTTTCAAAAAATAAAGCAAGACAAAAAAAATGAACAAGCACACATGTCATGATAAAAAAAACACACAGAAACCCAAAAACTAAAACAACAAAACAAATTAACACAAGTCAAGTTTTCTCACCCAAACTGCTTTAGTACGAACAAAGTTGTGAGAATTGCGGTTCTTGGGTGGTGTCTTGACGTTATGGTTCCCTTCCCTTTCAATGGGAACCTGTCTCGACATGATTTCCAACTTCCTATTTTTAGGTCTAGGCAAATGCAACCTCGCTCCCTATTTGGTCTCAAGCATATCAAAATAGCAAGGTTTATTATGACCCTTAACCTCCTTACAACCAATGAAGTGTCTCCCACCCCAGGAGATGTTGGAATTTCTTCCATCTCTATGAGACACTCTCCCATACAGCTTATAACAATAAGGGCGAATATGACCATGCATACCACAATGATGACAAATACAAATAGAATGTACCTTCTTTTCTTTGGCTTTGCCAACTCTAGGATGTTTGAGAAGTCCACCCTCATGTTAAATTTTTTGTCCTCCCTTTCCTTGAGTTCTTGTATCATGAGATGTGGAAGCACTCTGTTTTTGCTCTTTCTTACCACCAAAGCCAATGCCACTCTTGTTAGAACAAATTTGTTGAAACCCAATGATATTGTCCAAAGTCTTTGATCCTCTGTTCCAAAGACCAATGGTAGCCATAGCACACTTGAGTTTTTCCTCTTTCTTGATCATTAGTTCTTCCAAAGCAAATTGAGACATCTCGAGAGTTTTAACTTTTTCTTCATATGTTGCATAGAATTACTGTAGCTTATTCCTCTCTGTCTCACAAGTCAAGAGTTTTGCACAAAGAGCTTGTCAATCATTAGAAATCTTAATGGCATCATTCCTAGCCTCAGAAATCTGTTTCTTTAATTTGACATTCTCGCTTTCACATGCTTTGAGTTTCGTAGTGAGTTTGTCATTCAATTTGGATAAGTTAAGAGACTCCTTATACAACTTTTCATAAGCTTGCTCAAGCTCTTCATCATCACTCTCCGAGGATTCATCATCGGATACTCTGTTCGTCCTTCAGTTTCGGAAGCCGCCATGAAAGCAAGGAATTGTTTATGTTCCTCTTCACCTTGATCTTTGTTGTCACTTTCATCTTCATCAGATTCTGATTCATCATCCCAAGTAATGGCGAGGGCTTTCTTCTTCTTCGAACGAGTGGGGCATTCTGAAGCAAAGTGGCCAAATCCTTGGCATTCATAGCATTGGATTTTTTCAGAGTTCCCTTGTATCTTTCCTTTCTTCTTCTTGGCTATAGAATTAATTTTGAGTTTATCTTTGCCTTTAGATTTATGAGTATGAGTAGACTCCAAAAGATTAGGATTCTTTTTCAAAAAAGATTTTTTAAATTGTTTAACAAAAGTAGTCGTAATCTTGGAATCTATCTCACAATCCTCATCAGAATCCTCTCCAACTCTATGAGCACTACTAAAAGCAATATCTTTTTGTTTCTTTTTGAAATTCCTATGTGCCTCATAAGTTTGGAGATTTCCAACTAACTGATCCAACTTGAGGTTGTCAACATCTTGAGCCTCCTCAATAGCCGTAACTTTTGGTTGGAACCGATAGGGCAAGGATCTCAAAATTTTTCCCACAACTTTGGATTCTGGTATTTTTTTCACTTAAATTGAAGCTGGAATTTATAATGTCACTCAACTTCGCATAAAATTCATCAAAGGTCTCACTATCTTTCATTGAAAGGTTTTCGAAACTCGAAGTGAGCCTTTGAAGTTTTGAGCGTTTAACAGAATGAGTGTCCTCATGAATAGTTTGTAAAATATCCTAAGCCTCTTTTGTGACTTCACAATTACAAATACGACTAAACTCTTCAGGTGTGACAGCGCAAAAAAGAGAATTGATAGCTTTACTATTTCAGCTACTATTTTGGTAATCAATTGTGTCCCACTTATCAATTGGTTTGGGGAGAGTTACTCCATCAACGGTAATTGTTGGTTCGGTCCACCCATTCATGACAGGTTGCCAAACTTTTTCATCTATAGATTTCAAAAACGATTTCATTCGAGCTTTCCAAAAAGAATAATTAGATCCGTCAAGTAGGGATGGTCGAACCATAGAATTTTCCTCAGGAATTGAATCCATTATCACAAATCAAACAAGATCTTGCTCTAATAGATTTGTAAAACAAAAAAAATTGAGCGACCTGCTCTGATACCAATTGAAAAATTTAGAAATCCCCTAGATGTTGATTTGTGATTATATATCAATTTTAAGCAATATATAG